TTATGCAAAAATGTTCTAATTAGGGTGGCTTTAGGGTTTTTTTGGTACCAGAAATCAAACTCAGGACCTTGCACTTGCCAGGCAGCCACTTATGCCACTGAGCTGTATCCCTGGCCTATACAGTGGTTTTAAAACATTGAATTAGTTTGTATGGAAGAAAAAAAGAAGCCAGAGAATTAGCAAAGAATAGGAGAGAAGAGGACTGAGCCAACATTGCTTCTGGACCGTGGTCTTAACTTCACAGTTCACACCTATCAGATGAGCCTGATATCCTTCAGCTTCTGTTACATCTCTGTGACTTTCTGAGCTGTTTCACATGCTCGTGTGTGTGTGTGTGTGTGTGTGTGTGTGTGTGTACATTTTAAGTGTGGGTTAAATCCTAAGTAACTTCTTGTAAGAAATAAAAATGTAAGAGCTGAAAATTTGTTCCAAGTTAGGTAACAGAAAGCAAAGGAATCATTATTTGCTTGAGGACTACATGTGAGGGAAAAATTTTTATTTTTTATAATTTTCTGTATTTCTTAAATTTTTAAAGTGACTGAAATAATTTATCACAAACAAATTCCAAATAAAGAATCTGAGTCCTGATATACTCTAATGAAACCTGCATCCATGGCTTGATTTAGAATGAAAGATCCAGGTCTTGGTCTCCAGGAGCTCACTGGGGGCTGAGGCCAAGAAGGAACAAGATCTTTTAGAACTTTGTGAACCAGCTGAGGCAAGAGCCATGGGAAGAATCTAAGTACATGAAGGCGCAAGCGTTAGATTTTAGGGGCCTTAAAAAGCACTTAACTGTGTCCAGTTTATGGTGCTGACTTGACCTACTCCCTACAGAATTCTGAACCATGTGACCCCAAGTGGCTGTTTCCCCTTTCCAAGACAGGAAAGAAACTTGACTGGTTCTTTACCATGTGATGAGATGAAATCACAGAACAAGCCTCTCTCCATCAACTTCAGGTACTTTGAGAACTTAAATTTATTCAGTGGACTAAAGAGATTCTCAGCATGGTCTTCTCACCTCACTTTCCTCTGTGACAAGGTCTGCAAAACAAAGGCTAAAGGACCAGGCAAAGCTCAAAAGGAAAAGAGTCCCCGCATCATGATGTAGCCCAGGAGGTGACATGGACAACAAAGGGGTGATTGTTAGCCAAATGTTGTACTGGTCCTCTTGTTCAGAAGTATCTGTGATGTTCCCAGAACAATTTCTTTAGAAGCCCCTATGACAGCGTCATGTTTTAGCCAGATGTTTCCTTCTAGTTCAAGAAGTTCTCTCTTATACACAATGTAAACATAGCTCCTATCATTACAGCCTACAGGCTCATTTCCAAAATGTTTAAAGTGTTGCAGGTAGTTCATGAAATTGAATATAAAATAATAAGGATACCAAATTGTTCTTTTCAGAAAAGTACCTGAATGTTGGACAGACAAGATTGTAGTAAATGGATTGTGTGGGTCTCTTTTAACTAAAATGAGCCTACCTGGGGTGTCTCGCATTTACAAAAGTTATGGCAGGAGGGAGACAGCCTGCCCGTTCTAGAACAGTAGTACCAGGAAAGGTCAGCTAAGTGAATGTACCAGATTCCATGTTAAGGAGTAAAAGGAAAGATTACGATCATATGTTAAAAAATGAACTGTGAAACTGAGACATACTTTATCTTACCTTAACAAAATTTAAGTTATACTTGGTATACTGAACTAGATCAAAGCTAGAATGAATTGTGCTGGTATTTTGGCATGCTTTTTCTAAAAATAATAATAATAATAATAGATAAATAAAATATATATATATATATGAGAGAGAGAGAGATCTAATATCATTTAATTCACTTTTGACTTTTGTAGTAAAAAGAGGTTCATTTTTGTCAATATATTGGAAAGATTCATCCTTACTTTACCACCCAAAAGGCTCCTCCTGATTTTTGTTATTCAAAATGTACTCTTGCGATCCCATCTTGTCATCTCCCTTAATACCTTCTTTGTCAACTGTCAAGTGGTCTAATTCCACCACAGCCTCATTTGTCAGATTCCACCAATTCAGCACCATCACTTTCAATAACTTCATGAAATCCTGTAATCTCTGGCCAGATGTGCAAGTTGACTTCGCAAGGTAAATTATATTCTCACTGTGTTACAGAATCTTTCAGTCAGCAAAAAATAGACAGAGCAACAAAGAGGAAGCATAGGGAAGCAGATACACAGAAGAGATATTTGAGCAGAGTTCATTTGTATAAGTGCTGGGGTTGTAGAGAATCTATCAATGTGGCACTTTTTCTTCCCTATACAACCTTCTAACAACCTGGTCTTGAATACTAAGCGCGCTTTATTTTTCCTGTTCATCCAGATAAGACAAAGAGGGGTGAATTTATTTTGTAACATGAGACTCTACTATAGACATTATTTGATCACAAAAAGAAAGACTGGAAGATAAAACATATTTCATATCCTGCCACGCATCAAGATTAGTCAGTGTTGTGTAACCTTGGGTTTAGGGACAGTACTTTCCCTTGCCCTTTCAGATGTACCATGAGATATTTGCAGTGTTACCTTATCTGATTCTGGATTAACAAGTCTGTCTAGTTTCAGTTGCCACCTGGCAGTCTCTCTGAGAGCGGGGGAGTAATCACAGGCCAGTCTTCAGGAAGAACCTAGAAGGAGGTGTCCAACAGTGCGGATGAGGGAAGACTACAGCTGGGGAGAGCAAGGTAGAGGAGAAACAACAGCCTTGCCGCCAGACAGCAGAAATTGAGAAAGGACTTGCAGTGGCTCACAGTTCATGTTTGAGTCTATGTCTTAAATCAGCCACATTTTTAGGGTAAACGAGCATCATACTATCCTAAACGCTGCAAGTCTTGTCTACAACAGGAATTGGACTAAGAACCAAAGACCCACCCTCCAAAAAGTTTCATCCAGGCTTTAATTGTCTTAATATAAATTGTATGTTTTTCCCACTTTTTCCCTTTTAGTGGGATAATGGGTAACTTCTTCCCTGGTCAGAGCAGACTGAGTCTTCAGGAAGAAGGGGACCACAGGTCCTATTCATCTTTGCATTTTAACCCTCTTGTCCTTCTCCACTATTTGTTTTCTCCCTTCCATGAACACAGTAGTTCCTTGCTGCTTTAAGAAACTGAATCTCAGCATCTATCCAACACTAAATGTAATGTTCGTAAAGAAAGGGGATCGGAAGCCATATCAGAAAAAGCCCTGCGTTGTAACTCTCCTATAAGCTTAAAGGCATGAGGAAAACAAAAGACAGTGAGGCCAAGGTTATATGAGGCGAGGGACAACGGAAGACCTTTATTCTTATCCCTGCTTTTAGAATAGAAGTGAACATAGCAATCTGTCAGCAGCCAAGAGATGACACAGAAGGATGCTCTTGATGCCCGGCATTCCTAAATTCCTGCTTGTATCATGAAAGCAAGGAGGCCTACAATTATCTCTTCCTAGTTTGAAGGTTTCCAGGGACTGCTCGTGTTACAGAAAAGCAATCCTATCCAATCTAAAATGTCCCATTAATCACTTAGGATAAGAGATCTCTCAACTTCAGAATTGTTAAGATCTTCTTTAACCAGTTAATGCTAACCCTTGGCAAGTTACTTTCCCTAACAATGTCCGCATCTAGGGCCTTTGCCAAAGTACCGACCTAACAATGACAACTGTCCTACTGGATATCCTTTAAAGAGTCCATGTTAGTTGTTTCAAAAAAAATTTAAAAGTTCATTTCCTAATATCATTTCACATATAGTTATTCTCTCATGAATCATTATTCTACCATCAAGGACAGTTTCAGGTCCTTTGAAATGTCCCTTTATCGTTCAACAAGGATTATGTGTATCATCAAGAACTGAGCGGTAACCCAATCATACTTGGGAAAAGATTTTAGATTTCTCTTATCATCTGAGCCAACCTAATAATTCTTAGCTTAAGCCAAGTATAAAGGCATGACGGTGTTCCAGTTCTGTACTGTTTTAAACTAAACCGGTGTATTTAGCAGTATGTTTGCAGTACTAAATGACCCCAGTCAAAAGACCAAGTCATCAGGCCACCATTTAGACAGGTATTTAGCACTTGACACTCAGTGGAGGGTCCATCAAGATACTCTTCTGTTTAAAATCAGCTATTGCATTGGGGAGCAAAGTCTGGGTGTCATTTTGGTTCAGGCGTTAAATGATTAACATTCTTATTTTATGTTTCATAACAGGAGGAGTTTTTCCTCTCTCACTAAGCCAGAATTCGGATATCTCACTCAAGCCCCAAAGGAGTAGGGACTTAGTTTCTTTATTGGCATCTTTGCAGTTGATGCCTCTGGGAAGGAGCCTGCGCATTCTGGAAAGAGCAAAAGGCAAAGTCCTTCCCGTGCAGCAGCAGCACACCCAGCTCCAAGGGAATCCTCTCAGAATGGACAAAAAAATTAAACCCTGACTGCCCTCCAGCACGTGAAGATCCCTGAGAGATGCAATACATGAATCTAGAATACACGTTAATTAATCCTTTCTCTGCAGGCCCAAACATTGCACTTATGTTAAACAGGTCACAGAGCAAAGGGAAGAATGTCTGGGATGATCCTAAGAGACATCTTCACAAGGCCGTGACTGGATGTCCCACAGTCATCTTTCCTTTCCTTAAGGCCAAGGCTGGTTTCATCAACCATCATGCAAGTGTACCACACAGGCCATTGTCCATTGTATGACCCAGTGTCTCTTTCATAAGGACCCACGCAATGAACTCCTCCCTGAGTATCCCAACCTATAATAAGGAGATTAAGAAAAACCACATAACTTGAGAATTTTCCTACTTTACCTTACCTGTCATCAAATTTATCTAAACTCAGTACCCAACCAGAGTTATTTTAGAGAGATCAAATGCAATGCTTACTCATTCTCCTCCTAAATAGTCTTTCCTCTATTTTATCCTTTAATTTACAGTGTGGCTTTAAACCATATTCTACATATAAGATATATGAAATATGTTACTCTTGGCCAAAAGTCCAGTGACCCTCTTACCTGCATATGAGTCTATTTTTCACCAAGGCTGTAAAGATCTCCTGAAACAATTTATGCTGGGGATGTTTGCTGAAATATCTCTCATTCTTGTAGTTTATACTGTGGTGAAACAAACAGAAAAGCATTTTGCAATAAAAATTATTAAGCCTGTCTCAATGTTAGCAATGCAAAGACCATCTATCTTCAGACAAATATGATTAGAGTCTTGAGGCTCAATATATTGCTAAAAGCAAGTATCAACTGTTGAAACAGAAACTGGAAATTTAACTGAAAACAATAAAGACTATAATCAGTTATGTGTTTAAACACTCACCAGCTGAAATTGGTTGGAGGAAGGAAAAGGGCACACAGAGAAAGTGTGTCTAGGGCCATTCCTTGTACAGCTGTGCAACAAGCACAGGAAAATTCTCTCCCTTCTCTTTCCACTCACCCTCAACCCCATTGGTTGCTTTACATATTAAATCACTGATTGTCACCTGCATTTCCTACCAGATAATAGGGACTGATTGACAGTTTACATTTTTCCAGTCATACTGCCTGCTTGTCTATCCAGTCTACACTCCTTCAGCTGTGCTGATTGTTGATTGTCTTTTTTTGTGTATGTTTAATAAAATTTGGAGATATTCCAATTATAATTTCCTTTTCCTGATATCACATCCTACCAAAGAGATTTAAAAATACTCTCAAGACATCCCACTTCAAAGTCAGGAGAGCATAAAAGATAATGCACAAAAGGATCACATTTAACGGAATCTATAATAATTTGGTGCACGTTAAAATAGACTAATTTTAAACTATAGGCCAAATAAACTAAAATTGCACGAATTTACCACCTCAAAGGCAAGTTTTACAACCTTATGTTGTCACTGGTAACCATCTGCCTTTGTTGTCTTTCAGATGTTATTATCCTGCATGCCCCCCTTCCTGACCAGGTGAGGGCTTTAAAGGTTTTCTAGTACATGGTTACTGGTGGACTGAGTATGGAAGAAAAAGTATTTAGTGTTTCTCATTAAATATATATTTTGAAACTATGAACCCAGGTAATGTCATATAGATTTCTGGACCATTTCCATTTATAAGATAACAGAGAAACAAACTATGTCAAATAAGTAAATGATCATTCTGGACTATCCATGTTGATATTTCATCTGATTCATTATTTTCATGGAACTTGGTGCCAGATGACCCAGGAACATTGTAAAACTGAGAGAACCAGCTCCTGGAAGGGGAGAGGCCCATAACAATGTGCAGCTTCTAGAAGGTCTACGTGGTAACAAGGATAAACATGGACTGATGCTGTTAGTGTTAAAGGTGAGCTGCTATCCATGCAACTGGAAACTGCTGTTGTTTTGACTACCACACTTTTTGGTCACCATATCTGCTCACAGCAAGAGATTCTTTTGTCTTCTTGTTACCAGCAAATTGCAATCAGACCAAAAGCTAAGACAAAGCTTGGCACTGGCTGATCCAGGTCAACAACCTGGAACCATTTCCTTGTTGAACAAATGCCAAATATATGTCAGCACGGCTTAGTTCCACCTGTGACGATTAAGCTTGTCACTTTTGCATTGCTTCTGGGAGTGGTTTGAGCACTAACTAAATTGTTAAACTAAGAATCTCCATGGTAAACTTTGAGCCAGTCATTACATTGTAGCACTTGTTACAGTTTAAATGGGCCAACTGGGATAGGTTGCTGAAGCGCAGGGAGATTTCTTACCTAAAATTTTCAAGTTCAACAGCTTCTGTGGACTCATGCCACTGACCTCGAGCTCTGTGCCCACCTGCCTTGATGGCGGTCTCAGACTTCGTCATGCTATTTTGGGCACTCTCAAAGTTAATGGCTGGAAGCTACAGAAATAGAAGCCAGAGTACGTGAGGATCAGCACAGGATAAAGAAAGTAACAACATGGGGAGAGGAAGAGGGGAGGATGAGTAGAATGAAATCGCCCACACACTGGTAATGCTATGATCAGTATAGGGCTTTCAAAGATTAAAGCATCTTTAAGCATTTACTTCCTTTATCTTCCTTACACTAATTTTTCTTCATAGCTTTTAATACAACTTGTCATAGCTTAGAGTTTATGTTTTGTATGTATAGTTATTTGCATACTGCATGTTATTTACATATTTCCAGTCCCCTTGGATTAAAATGTCACCTTCACACAAGGAAGAACTTGCTTATTTTTGTTCAGTGCTGAGGTGAGGCCTGAGAATCAGGTTTTTGAGGATCCTCCTGTGTTTAGTTCCTCCTGGAGCTAAGTTCCACCTTTGGAAGAGCCCTAGCTGAGACAAGTCCTCATGTGTTTATCTGTTCTACAACATTTCCCAAGTAGACCACTGCCCAACCTATGCCATACGTCAGGGACGTAGCAGTAAATAAAACTCTATCATACTTATCAGCCTGAACACCCTAATTATTTAATACTATCTATGAAAGTTATTAAAATATAGTGCTCACCATAAGGAAAAGTATCTACAACTTGACTATGCCTCTGTTTATTGGATGAATTGGTTAATTACTCATATGAGAAGTTGTCAAGTTATCAGTATTCAAATATTTTCATTGGCCAATATTTACTTATAATTGACAAGAAACTGAGATTTATTTCTGGTACCACATAAACTTAAGCATGTGTTTTCCAAAGTACAAAAGAAAGATGTTCTATAATTATTACAGATGAAGTAAGTCAAGCATCATATAGCAAAAAGATGTAGTTTTTAGTAAATTATTCCATTCTGTATAATTGTAAAATAAAGCTATAATGTGCTATATTTAGTATCTTGTTCCACAGAGGTATATGATAGAAATCAATATGAAAACATTATTTTCTTATCAAAATAAAATATTCCTCATTTCCCATAAATGAATTGCAATAAGGAAATTGTACAATAGCTGGCAAAAAAACAGAAAATCTTTCTTTATCATATGAAAGCCACAGTTGAAGTTTTAAAATATTAATAACACATATTCAATACTGTAAAAAAAAAATCTTTCTATCTCAGTTCAGCCTGCTAATCTACAAGTCCCACAGAACAACAGGACATAGGTACTTATGGAAGCAATGTTAAGTGGTCCAGAGAACAAATTCCCAGATTCTGTGGGTTTAAATCCACCACGAGCTTGGAAGATTTGCTTAATCTCTCTGTGCACTGGTTTCCACATCCTTAAAATGTCAATAATAGTGTATAACTCAGAGTTATTGTGAAAGTTAAGTGAATTACTATTTATAAACCATAGTTTTGTTTTATAAATATTTTTTAATCCTTGTAATTATTCCCACTGTACAGATGAATTTGCTAAATAAACAAAATTTGTCCTTACACATTAAGTGATTTCCAAGTGTAAACTAATAACCTACATGATATTAGATAATAAAGTCACAGCAATGAAAATATTTTCCTGTGTTACACACAAACTCTCATAACACACAGAAAATCTGATTTTCCCAGGTTCAAAGAGTTTCAGATCCCCTGCCATTGATACGGTTCCCAGATCCTGTTTGCGAGACAGAAGGTAGTCAGTACTGAGAAAACAAGCACAATTTACTAAGAGAAGAGGGCACACAGTTGCCACAGCCCACAGCCATTGCCTTTGAGGCAGAGTAGCAGCTGGTATTGAGAATGGACTCATGGCAACCAGTCATCTTCAGATGAAAGCGTGAGTTCAAAACCCAGGGTATTTGGCTCCCTAGTGCCTCAGACCCACTAGCTGTCCGACCTCTACAGCACAGGTGTGTGCAGTCTGAAACTTCCATCACATTCCAGGACTCAGCTCAGCCCAAGCATCCGCACAAGCCTTCCTGTGGAGAGCTCACCTCTCTCATGGCATTTATCATGGCACAACGTGATTATATAACTTCTAGTTTACACATCAGCCTTTTCCCCCTGAACTCAGCCACCTTGAAGATATCACATCCATTTTTGTGTTCTTGGTATCTCTCACAGAGACCGGTATACAGTAGATACTCAAATATGCAGCTGCTGAATGAATGCTCGCATGATCCCCAGTAAACAAATTGATCTAGTAAACTGCCTCCAGATGAGTTCATACACTCAGAAATTGGCTAGCAGACACAGGGGATATCAGACTATCAGACATTTGAAACGCAGAACACACTGTAAGTAGAACAGACCAGTCTCTTCCTTCAAAGTGTTTGCGCAACCACAGAGGGGGGGAGTTAGAGTCAGTAGACAGGCTTAAGAAGCATGCTGCAGAATGAATGAACGGGGGTTGGTTGTAGTGGAAAACACAGAGAAGGCAGGCCTTACCCGGAGATGTCAGCAGGATGTCAGGGAGATCGCCTCCCAGGGTAGAAGGGAAGGAGAAATATGTAAGCTTTGCAAACTGGGAGGCACCTGTGCCGCCTGAACAGTACAAGTGGAAAGGAAAGAATTGAGATCTCAGAATAAGCGGCATGATGCACAGCCTTCCTAAAAGTTTGTTATATCACTTCTGCTCAGAAACTTCAACATTCCCAATCTAATGGGATCAAGAACAAAATCCTTAGATGTCAGAAGACACTGCCTCGTGTCTTCTGCCTTTACTTATCACCTCTTCCTACTGCAATGTCCAATCACCTTTGTGCTTAAATACTTGTCATTTTCCACCCTCCAGATATTTGATTATTTTCTTCATTCTTCTAGAATGCCTCTCCTCTCAATTCCACAGATGGGAAACCAGCCCATTTTTCAAGAACCACCTCCTTCTCTGTCATTCAAGCCCAGAGAGGCTTCCTCTTCCCGCTCACAATTCACATAGGCATTATATCCTTTATCCAGGACCATGTTCCCCCTCCCCTCTGCACCATTATTATTGGGCCTATACCTCATTCCTCAGAGCATGAAAACCCCCCACACCTCATAGGTTTCTTTCCCACAACATCAACCAAAACCTCTTTTCTTTCAAGGCAGTTAATTTTCATTCTTCCATCTTTTTTTAAATTGCAAATACATTTCCGGGTTCCTGTGTCTCTTAAGTATGGGGGCAGAATCTGACTTCTAGCTCTAGGCAGAATACCTCAAGATTTCTAAAAACCTGAGATGAAATTTCCAACCAGCTTTGTAATTTCAGTTTGCTTCAACAACAGGAGGGCAGTCTTTACCTTGAATTATTTGGTTTAACTGGGTTACTTCAGTGTATCTCTATTCCCAGGTCTGTCAGACTCTGAGAATGTCCTACATCAGATTCTAATGTGCTGAAGCGAGATGTGACAGACACAAGCACACAATCAGGACAAAGACTGAAAGCAGAGCAACAGCAGGCACCAACGTGGGAAGAGGGCTTTGGCTCATTAGAGACTTGAAGGAAGGACATTCAGTTCTCTGCAACTCAGCCTAAACCAACACAGATTTCCTTTAAAACCAGTAACTGGCCATCTTCCCATTTGCAAAAAGCAAGCTATATCTTGTTAGAGCACAAATTCAGGTGAGTAGAGCTTAACCCCAAATTCCTTTTCACACTGATTGCTAGAAGTTCCAGAACCAAACGTGGGATGGACCTACTGTCTATTTTGTTGGGCATTTCTGCCTGGCCCAACTTTGCTTTGTCCCCAGCCCTTGTTTTCCTTTTCTCTTTGGCTTCACTTTTAATTTATGAAACCTGCCCCTGTTTATAAATCCTTCCTCTTTATAGTCTTGCTAGAACAAGCAAAGTATAAATGCTTGAGTTACTCTCTCCAGAATCTTCCTCCCTTATAAATGTCTCCACATTATTTTATGAAAGGAGAATAGGGTGTTCAGAATTACTTTCTTCCAGAATTAAAAAATGCATTAAGGCTTTACAAACAGAAACAGGAATACATTTTGGAAACCTTCATCCAGTTGAGGACAGTGATTTTCATTTTTATCTTAGATCTATTTCCTGAATAATTCAGGAATTACAAATATGCGTTCTTGCATGTGTGAAATATACAAAAAGATATGCCAAGTGCACTTGTCAGACAACAGATTGCAAATTCCGAAGTTGGTTAGAAGAGAGAAAGTCATTAAATTAACTTTAAATGAGCCTGCTAGGTGTTAGCACAGAAGTGGTGATGAAAAGGGACAAAATAAATCTAGTCAGGATGAACTTCAAAGTTGAAAACTTTGAGCTAAAAGAACAACAAAACAAAACTAAATACCACTGAAGTTTCTTTTGCCCAGGCCACAGGTTTGTGCATACCCTGTGGTGATCCAATTCTCATGTCATGATGCAAATTAAGAAAACTGACCCAAAACGTGCTGAGTAGAGGATACTGTGAACCAGAGGCAAAAGTCAAAGTTGCTGGCACTAGAAAATGTATGATATCATGAAGAAGCAGGGCATATACAGAGGACTTCCCAAAGCAAGGGAAAAAGAACATTACAACAGTGTAAGAAGGTAACTTGGGAAGAGAGAGAGATCACTTCCAGAATGGAGAATATGTAGAGGTGATAGTATTAGATTCACATCTTAGGAACAGGTAAGACTTGATAGGAAAGAAATCTTGGAGAAGAGAACAGAAAGCAAAAAGCAGAAGTCTTTGATATTACAGTTATATCATAGGACATACAGTAAAAAAAAAAAAAAAAGTAGGAACTAGAACCAAAACTGTAGACTAAGTCACTTCAGTCACCTCTCCAGGAAAGAATGGACTTGATCTAAGGTTTGTGGGAAGGGAGCTAGGGAGATTGTCTCAGCAACTATTTGACAATTGTTTTATCTTTAGTATAAAGGTAGACAAAGCAAAGTGACTGCTGAAACAGGTAAAAAAGAAGTTAAGATAACCTGAGGCTAGAGGATTCATAATATAAAAAAATGACTCCCAGAGAAAAGGCATTTTAAGGACAAATAAATGTCCCACCCAACACTTTTTTCAACTGTAATTCAATTTTCCAACTCATTTACAACACATCTCAGCGGTCAGAGGCACACAGTGTAAAGACAGAGCATCTGAATTCAGAACTATACTCCATTAGCAGGCAGCACGCTCTTGGAAAGTCATTTCACTTCTCTGTGCCCGTTTCCTCACTCATAAAAGTGAAAGCTGTAATCAGTAAGCAAAGTCATGCAGGTAAATCATCAGGTATGCAGTATTTCCTTAAATATGAATTATCGTTATTTAGCCTTCATATGTCAGCAAACCATTAGAAAGTCATTCCCTAGAATAAATCAATGAATGAAAAATGCTATAGTTCTTTGGTAAATTTGGCTGATGTAACAAAAACACATCAGGGCTCAGTTACCAAACCACAAGACTCTTTAAGCAAATTTAAAGAAATGAGTATAACATAGAAGACTTTGGAAGCAGACAACCAGAGTTCAAAGCTCATCCCTCCATTTACTAGGTGATGGCGCTAAATAACTGTTCACAATTTGTCATTATTAATAGCATTGCGCTGTTGTACCCAAACTTCATTTTTATTTTATTTTATTTTTTTGGTTTTTCTCCGGTACCGGGAACCGAACTCACGACATTGCTCTTGCCAGGCAGGCGCTTTGCCGCTGAGCTAAATCCCCAGCCCTGTTGTACCCAAACTTCAAAGGATGGCCTCTAATTCCATGACTTTCCAAAATCATATAGGAGCAATGCTAAAGAGAAAAATTTGGACACCAATTAAATCAGTGCTACCATACTTTCCCTGACTAATAAAAAATATTAAAATGCTATTAAAAATAGTCAAAACTCACTCCTGCCCCCTCTGTTTGGTGAGGTACGATTTGCAGTTTCAAGAGTGGTGCTGTGGCCAGAGAATTTGGCTGGGGGTGGGGGAGGCTGGGAAAAGGATGGAAATGTGGTAAACAGAGCCTTAGTAGAACCAATTTCCCTAAAGTTTGAAGAGGCAAATATGAGCATCGAAGAACAGAGTTTGCTGTCTATAGACAGAAAAGTGAAAGGTTGGTAGCTGGGACAGCTGGTGACCAGCCTGGGATAAAGTGGAGCACCTGTACAAGAAGGACCAAAAGGCTATGGAGGCTGAGTCTTGGAAGAGCCCTACCCAGGTATGGGAGAAATAGCTGGAAGAAGCAAGAGAAAGTGTGTGGATGGATGAAGAAACGAGATATCATGTTTGTAAAGATGTTAAATGGATCCCTTCCAAAATACGTGATTTCTCCTTTATTAACATACACACATCTTTTGAAAATACTACCTGTTGTTTGCTTGATTGAACGTTCAAAAGGCACCGAAGTCTTTTAAGATCTGAATAGTCCCTAGGAAAAAGAATAGCGCAACGTCAGCCCACAGGTGAACAAGGTCACGTTACCCACAGATGCTGCTGCTACTTGGAGGCGCACTTTCAGAGACAAATGTATGTATACACACTAACCCTTTCCCTTGGAACTGTAGAAATAACCACAGGTTTCAGTAAACACTGTGACCCAGGGTAGCAGTTGTCAAGAGTCTATGCACTCATTTTCTCAAAAAGCCATTAGATCCGTTCAATAGCCACCACCTCACTTAATGATTAGAAAAGACTCAGGAAAGGGTTACCTGGTGATTTCTTGCTGCTTTTTATCAGTGGGTTTTTCTGTGGTCTTCAGCTTTTTGTCGTGATCAGGCATTGTAAAACATCAACGCCCCAAAACTAACATCGCATTCCTTTCAAAGTAAAACAGAGGGGAAAATTTGAGCTGGGCTGTGTAAGCCAAAATATTCTTAATACAGATAAAATTTACCCATAACACCTATTTAAACATAGAAAATAATATTTATTTCTGTAGAATAATAAAAGTGTTAACACGAATGCCATTTACTGCTGTCTTCAAAGGGCTTTGGATACACTTAGGACATGGTTATGGCAGCCCGGAAGTCTATGTTTCCCGGGTCATTCTTGGTTTCAAATATTCTGACCCATTGCCCTGATAAATATTGTTCCGCATGTCAGAAAAGGTGACTTCATTTTGGGTCTCCAAAATTTACGTCTGTACACAAATTCCTGCAGTTCAAGTGACGCTTGTATGCCGCCCCACGTCTTTCTCAACAAATACTCTTAAGTATATGCTGGCAATTCAAAGAGTTCCTCTCATCACGGGTCTTGTTCGAAGGGTTTCGGAGAAAGCCCCGCCCACTCATGAATAAGCACTCACTGTCAAGAGTCACACCAAATGTCGCCATATTTCCAGAATCCCCAAAGCCTGAGAGTTGCCACTTGAACACCTATATGGTTCAACCCCAGTCATAAGTTCTTCTGGTAAACTTAAAGCCACAAGCATGGCACCAGTACCTGGCAGGGAGACTGGGAAGCCTGGAGACATAGCTCCATGGGCATTTCAGTCCTCGGTGTTAACCATTTTAGTATTATCACGGTCAACTTTCTTAGGATTAACCTTAACAGTGTTTCTCACGCCCAATGAAAAGATATGAGTACACCAGTAGATACAGAAAAATGTGTTTGCTTTATTCCCCTTAATCAACTTGTAGTCAATTGTTTTCATTTCCAGAACAGAAACAAAAAGAAAGTTAAAGATACTACCCATACTTTCAGTAACAGCAAATACAGGGTTAACTATAACATTGGTTTCATTCAGTTGGATGTAAAAAACATTTTTCCAATTGTGTTTCAATGCCACAGTTTGACTTCAACGTTTAGTTCAGGCATGAAAAAGCATGCATTATGCTCTTATAATTGCATGCTTCAGTGTATTGTGAAATCTATAGTCAAAATCCAAGCATTTCAAAGGTATTTAGAGGAAACTGAATGTCACAATGAGTGTTTCATTGCAACAGAGGGTGGAGAAATTTAATTTTATGATATGCACAAAGATGGTTTAAGAATTTTCAATTATTTTTCAGTAATTTTTGATGACCACAGCTTTCATTGTTGTACACAACAAGAAAAGGCACAACATGAATACCTCAGGATTGTACCTAGGGTTGACACCACAGATCCACTCACTCAGTAAATATTTAGTGAATGTTTACTGTGTCTGATCTCGAGCTGAAAGCTGTTTAGCGTTAAAGGAAGCTATCACCGGTATGCAATCTCAGCACAAGTAAACAAAAACTCACTTATGAACTTTAAAACATGCTTTGTGAGTTGCTCAAGTAGACATCTGACTTAGCCTCTGCATTACCCTAAAAGAGAAGAAAGGAGGGAAGGAGGAGGGGAGAGGATTGAACATAGATGAGTGGAGGATCTGTAAATTAGTGCTCCAAAGCAAAAGACCCAGGTGCTTTCTGTATATAGATTTTATAACTTCCCTCAACATTCCAAACTAAATGCAAATCCAGTCAAAATAAATGCAGTACCATTTTGCTTTTTCTTCCCTTACAGAAGGAAGATTCCACACACAACCTGCTGATGGGCTCGCTTCCTGCTCGGACTGTACTCTGAGACTGTCTGGGCGGGTGGCGGTGGGAGCCGCAGTGCGGAGTGCATGCAGGAGTGAGGAGAAGCTCACAGCCTCCTGCCAGAGGAACACATTTACCCCTATCAAACCCTCTAAACACCCTATCTCATTCCCTTGCTAATCCCCTCACTGTACTGATGTGGTGTGTGAGCAGGAAATAATCACCTAACAATTTTATCAGTTTGAGATTTGCATGCACTCATGAGCTGGAAGCGTGAATACAGATCACTCTCTAAAAATGTTTCACTTAATTAAACAGCAAACAAATTTATCGGAATCAATAGAAACGGATAATTGCCTTTAGGTTGGGAAACAAAATCCTTTTCACTTGATGGCTGAAACATCGGAAGCTATGCTGAAAAACTTTGAGAAGTTGGGAATGTTCTAAAATATTTAATTGAATCTCATTTTTAAGTTTAAGAGCAAACTATTACACTGTACTAATATTACCATCTGAAGTGGGGAATGGAGGAGGGAGGCACAGTGCCTACCTGAAGGTGCCTAGGGGTAGATGATGTGCCAAGGAGACAATGCCTGCAGAAGTCAGGAAAAGAGCTACCCAGGGCCCCTTCAGAAGGCAGCTTCCGTCTGACCGCACAAAGGAGCTCTGGGGGGTAAACTATGCCTCAGAGGAAAGGAAGCCAGCTCTCATAGTCCTCTGCTTTCAGCTATTGGTTAGGCACCTTTGGGGTAGGGTCTAAGGTACACCTGTCTAGAGGTAGAGAGACTCCAACAGCTGAAGGGTAGCGGAGGGATACAGAAACCAGCTGTAAGAAGGAAAACAACACTGAAACTAACCTCCCGGGGCACATGTCATAAGGGATCAGTGAAGTCTGGGCAGAGTACCCGCATTATCCACAACTCCATGGGAAAGACCTATGGATGATCGGGCATAAGCATCCTGGCTCTGCTTCCAAACTGAACAAGGCATATGCTGCAGTAACACTCAACTACTGAGTCAAGTCTCTCTCCTTGGGTCCTTGGCCTCTCCAGATGCTAGCACAACATTAGCTCGTAGCAGGTAGCTCAGCCCTTGGCCCTCTTCTCCTCTCCTCTCCTTTCCTCTCCTCTCCTCTCTTCTCCTCTCCTCTCTCCCTTCTCCTCCCCTCCCCTCCCCTTTCCCTTTCTCCTCTATGTAGGACAGTGGTGGCAAACCTATGGCACGCAAGCCTCAGTGCGTTGTTTGTATCATTGAAAGCTCTGGAAGGTTTGCCACTACTGCCTGGGTGATCGTTCCCAGTCCCGTCGTTTTATGTACCACCCCTAAGTCTAAATGTACAAGCTCAGACCTAACCCCGAATCTGCAAGGTCACCATCTGGACATATAACGGGCATTTACTGCCAACATGCCCCAACTCCTTACTTCCAGTACTGCACAACCCCAGCGCTCCTCACCACAGTAACTGTCACTGTCCTGCCAGGCTGTACCAAAGCTCAGGGACCATTCTTGACCCCTCTCTTTCCTCTGTTACTCCACCATCACTCGTGCGGGGTCCCTGCCCAGACCTCTTCTCATCTTTCTGCTTCCACACACACTCCCCTGCAGCCACAGGAACCAGAGGGATTTTTCTATAACTGTAAACCAGATCATGCTACTCCATCCGTGCACTGTGCTTCGTGCTGCTTCTCACGGAGGCTTTCACTGCTCTGGCCCCTCTGGCCTCTCCCTCTTGCTTACTCCATGTCAGCCATACAGACGATCAAAGGAGGAACCTGAACCCATAGACGGCCAAGTACTTGGGTTTGGATGCTGGTGCCTTCCAAAACTCAGCTTGGAATATCATGGCCACAGTAACAGTATTAGGACGTGAGATGGATTTAGCGCTTTTTGAAGGGCTTTCAGGAAGGGTTCCCTCTGCTTTTATTCAGTCCTGCCAGGTAAAGAACAATGTTCCTTCCTCCTGGAAGATGCAAGACACCACCCTGGAGGTGGAGAATGGGTGCTCCCAGGCAAACCTGATGTAAAGTTTGCATTTCCCAGCCTCCAGACTATGAGAAAATCAATTTCTGTTTATGTAATCCCTGGTCCGTGATGTTGTGTTATAGGAGCACGAAATGCACTAAGACTGTACCCATGAACATGCCACTCCCGGCTGGACCCACCTTACTCTTCCCTTAAAGCCTCCACACCTGCTATGTGTGTTCCTGTACCCCATTCTCAGGATATCTGCTTTGAGTCACAGCTCAGTGTCTCCTAAGACAGGTCTCCTCTCAGGAACTTCTGTGATGTGTTCACCCGCACACTCATCACAGCCCCCTGCTCTATCTCCTCCTGGAGCTCACCAACACTAGACATCCTCTTGTCCATTTATTGGATTCCCTGAGCTAGATCTTAAGCCCCAGATGGCAGAGACTATGTTTCATCCACAAGTACATCTGCCACACATAAAATAGGCCATGGTACTGCATACGTACAGTACAAGCACTCAAAAAATATTTGTCACAATATGGAAGGAGTGACTGAACTATTTTTTCCAAAGTTTGTGAATTACTAGCTTTTTAAGAGCTATTTTTAGGCTAAGAGACTCTGCCCTCCCTGGGAGCCCACAGAGCAGCTTGTTCTGTCCATATTGTAAACTTACGTGTACCATATTGCTGTTGCCTGATTGCTTCATATGACCAGGGATTGGGTTTCTCCTACCAGACACATGACAGTCAAACAATAAATATTTATTGAATCAAAGACCTACTAAAGAGATGAATGGCTAAAAGGATTATATGTTTTTTAAAAATCTGTGTCGTTACTCTTTGTAGTTCAATAAATCTCCCGTAAGCTCCTTTACAAACCAAATTAATTGATATTATAGTAATCCTGAGTGCATTCAGGAATTAGCTCATGTATGCAGTCATTTGGAGGAAAATTATAGTTCCACATAAGGAAGTATTTATTCATCAATAGTGCTTCTGAAACTCGTGGTGTTGAACAGATTTTCTTTCAATTTCCAAGCTGTTGTGGACTGATTCTTTTGCTCCTAATCCTATCCAGTATGACAAGTCCCAGTGCTTGGATGGCACGGCAATACTGAATTGCTACAAAATTTCTGAACTTATAGCTTCATGAACCAGTAAACCTGAACACCACCCGAATACCACTACATTCCTAACTCTATCTTCTCAATTAAGCAGATTGTTTTCACAGTAACTCTAGTTGATCCTCAGACAAAACCACAGCCCGAAGAATAGAGCTTGAGGGGACACACCCAGCTACTATCAACTCCATGGTAACCAGAGGGGTGCGATGGAGATCCTGGGAGAGGACTAAACACGGACTTCGTCGTAAACAGCTCTTTCTTTTCTGGGGTTCTCTGTAAAGTTTCATTTAAGAAAAGGGCTCCAGGGGCTGGGGATTTAGCTCAGCGGCCCAGCGCCTCCCCGGCAAGCATAAGGTCCTGAGTTCAATCCCCGGTACCGGAAAAAAACAAACAAACAAAAAATAATAGGAAAGAGTTCCACTACTAAAAATAGAAATGGAAAACCACTGATTTTCTCGCACTATTGCATGGACGCATGAGTCCAAGCAAATTACACCACACGAACACCTGTGTCCATGTGGATTTTCCTTCAATTCTAATGGGCAAGCTGAAATTTAGTTTATGGATTTTTTTTTTAAACAGAAGAGTATGTGGCACAGTAGCGAAAGATTATATATAACAATTGAGTGAAGGCTGTTTCACAAAAACTTTCAGTATCCTCAGAGGATAGCCAGTGGGTTTGATATTTAGAAATTCACTGGAGCACAGACAGAATTACAGTTCTCATTGTTGAACTTTTCAATCCATTTCTTAAAAAAAAAAAAAAAAAAAGACTCCCCAAAGCAATTCCTACCTTGTCATTTAAAACTTAGGTGAGTGCTAAAGAAGTCCCCAGACACACACCTCATTTGCTCTTGTTAATTGCAGGGTAAACACACATGACAGAAAGAAATCCAAGCTATGGCGAAATTGCCTAACATACTGTAAGTACTCTAAATTGTGCGACGTAGACCCACTAACTAACTTAGTGCTATATTCATGGCATGGTCTTCAGATTCTTCACCCAGATATCTTTTTTATATCATGCTTGCCTCATTGCTCAAAAATTCTTAATGGTTTCACTTTACTAAATATAAAACTGAAAGTCTTCTCAATCATTATGGGAAAAAATTTCCAATCTCACAATTGTTTTTTGTCCCTACCAACACTTAGCTTAGAAACCAGCACTTATTAAGTAATAATAGCAAAGTTCAGTGCGACTAAAGTTAGTCACCACTAATTATAGCTAAAGTCATGACATTAGCTATAAAGGATTCATTATATTAAAAATAAAAGCACTAAAGCTGGGCATGGTGGCACACACCTGTAATCCCAGGCCAGCCTGAACTACACAGTGAGACCTAGACTCAAAAACGTAAAATTAAATGGAAATTTAAAAAGCACTAAGCCAGCCAGGTGTGGCAGTGCATGCCTGTAATCCTGCACTTGGGAGACTGAGACAGGAGGATCCCTTAGAGTTCAAGGGCAGGCTACACAGTGAGACCCTGTCTCAAGAAAAAAAAAAAAAACAAGCACTAAACTGCTAGGAATCCTACCACAAAGTAAATTTAGAACTTGCTTGTACCAACAGTAGGCAGTCTCTATTCTTCTTGATGAGCTGTGGGTAACCTTCCCATCAGATGGCAAGTTATAGTTCTGTCTGTGCTCAAGTAGAGAAATGAAAGGAATGTAGAGCTATTTCATTTCCATAACC